GTTGCACTTGAGACAAAATTGTAATTGAGAACCTTTCCAGGCACCCCAGTGGCCACCATAAAATGCAACTGTATGTAAGGTTTTTGGTTGCTTGTATATTGACAATTGCACTATGTTTAACATCCAGCATACTTTATCCTCTCCATTTGAAAGGGAGCATTGAAAGTCTTTGAGATCAAGATTATTATGTTTGTGTTGCATACATAATTTTGTACTATTCTTCTGGTTACAAGCCCTTCACCCAGCAATATGTTCATATGGATAAAGGAGACAGAATAAATCATATTGAGTTGTTCTGGCAGATAATACCTTTAGAACAATAAATTATGTAAGACTGTCTCCTTCAAAAAATGAAAACTTTGATGTTACAGATCTGAAAGTAATTGGAAAACTCATGCAAATGTATTCTTAGTCAAATAAATTTCCTCGATGCCAAATTTGTCATATTTACTTGTAGCTAGTGATAGAAGATCTTTTAGTTGTAACAAAATTGATATTTCTAAATGCATCATATATTGACTTTTGATGGTGTATATTTCATTATTTTCTTCAAGGAGTTTGACAGTAATCTTTGGATATTAAAATTTTATGGGAACAACAACAAAAATGTCAGTACATTCCCCATTTTAAAAAAAATTGGGGAACACAAAAAATCTGTTTGTTAAACAAAGGTCAGGATACTCTGAGAAGTGCTTGAGAAAGCCACCCACGATGGGGGGACATATTCCATTAGAGCTAGTTTACAGATAGATGAGGCTGTGCTATAGAGACAAACATTTATCATATTTCTTAATGGTAGTTAAGAACATTAACAATATAGAGTATTAAAATTAGTCTTTAGAGGTGGGAAGGATTGTCCAGTTATATTTTAAGATGTTCTGAATTATAACCAAACTGATTTTTCTACATCAGGCATTTTGTAAACAGTGACCTAAACTGTGCGCTTCTTCAATTTTGTTAGTCTCTGAAATAGGCCTTTTTTAATTTTGTGATTCAGTTCAAAGCATTTTTTTGGTCAGCTGTAGATTTCATATATGTTTCTGTGCATTAATCCAACTACAGAGTAGCTCTCTCAGAATTAGAATTTCTTAAATTATGTTGTACCACAACATACTAGTTTAACAGCTGTTTGTGTGTGTGGAGGTTTTTATTGAATTTGCATGCTATTTGATATTGAGCATATTTTAGTCCCTGAAGGAAAATCGCCTGTTTTCATTTAAAAGAAGTGACTGCACAGAGAAACAGCATTTAAGAATATTGTTTAAGGTAAACTGTGACCAGGTCTGTCTAAATTTGTTTGTTAAATTAGTAGTATCTTGAATTCTCAGTCTTATTTCTTCTGCACATTGTGAGGAGGGAGAGATTTGTTTTAAGAAAGTTTTTGTTTAATTGCAACCAGCAGAAAACAACCCCAAAGGCAAATTGTCCGTATAGAGAGTTTACTACTCAAGAGTCTTGCTTTTTTTTTTTTGGTTTGCTTGGCTGGTACAGAGTTGAGGCTAAGAGAGGCCCTATAAATCTTTTCTGTTGGACCAGTAGCAGCGCTTTCTTATCTGCGTTTAATGAGGAAACTCCATTCACTAACAAAGCTGTGGATTGGTTTTTTTCTTATGCAAAAGATGGGGAGGAATTCTGTTTAACTTTGGGAAATCTTAAAAAAAAAAAAAAAATTTTTTTTTTTTAAAGACATTTTCTGGGACTGCCTTCAACCAAGGAAACACCGCTGGATTCCATTGTGTTTCTGAAACGAAAAACCTTCTCCATATAATTTTCAAAGGTCAAATAGCTTTAATTCTGTTTTGGCCGTGTTTGTGTTGAATTTCAGCCAGCATTCTCCACTGTACAGTAGTGACTTTTTTCCTTTCCCCCTTGTTTTCACTCAGTATAAACAGTTCCTTGCTGTAGTAACATAGACAAATATAGCAGAGGACTCTTTTCTGGGAGAAGAGTCTCCCCATGCATTTCTTAACCATTTTTGGGAAGAATTGATCTATCTGTGTATGAGAGAGAGGGAGGCAGTAGCTGTAAATTGAAGTGACATCATATGTATTACTTCCATTGATCCGCTTTTAGACTACAGCCAGGACAAAAGGAAATGGCATCAGGGAGGAAGTATGCTCATTTAGGCACAGATCCCAGTGTGATAATGGAGTAATAATAGAAATCACGCCACTGTCAATCGGTTGCTGCATTAGTCCGAGGCGCATTTCCCCTCCAAGGAGGCTTTCAATGACTTCATTCAAGTGTAGGCTGAAGCAAACGGGATATTCAGCATACCAGCTGTACTGCTTCAGTGATTTGTGTCCTGGCTTAGGGGTGCAGCGCAAGCAGTGGTGCTGTGGATGCTCAAATGCATATATCGTTGTCACATTTCATGGCTGTGAAAGGTCAGTAGTCAAATGTTTCAATGACATTTTTCTAGTAAAAATGGTGAATCTGGCATTTATTGCATTATTCTAATGGGGGAATTGACAAATAGTCTTTTTAGTGTGGGTGGTCTTCTGGGATGTGGGGCCAATGACCTTATAGCTACACTGAGAGAGCTTTGAAGAGGCAAGATTCATTGTCGTTTTTACAGGCTATGGGTGACGTTCAGAAAATTCATATTCTATTCCAAGGTGCTTTGTGGAAACTTTCTAAAAACTATTAAAAGTTCTGAGATTTACTTGTAGTACAGTATCCTATTTGGAGCATTACTGAATTATAGTTTGCTGTGGATAAAATACAAGATAGCTGTTTTCCCTTGTCCCCAGATGTTTAGTAAACATTGAATCTCAGTATTTAGAGCAGGAGTGCATGTGTAAGCTAATTCAGTGACAACCTACAGTTGTAGTTTTCTGGACAAATATTGTCTTTTCCATTTGACTGTGTCCCTTTTTTTCCTCTTTGGTCTCTTTCAAATACAAAATCAGTTTTGGCATGCCACATCCTTTCAAAATTGTGTTTCAAAGTTAAAGGTCTAATTGTACAAACTTAAAAGCCACTGCACCAGTTCACGAACAAGAAGCAATATTTAATACGCTATCTGAAAAGAAAAGAAAAGCAAAAGTATTCAGTACCTTGGTAGAGGTAGTGCAGACAGCAACTTCAAAAGCAAGACAAGCAAAATAAGATTCACAATATTGGGAAAATGACCTTCTAGCTGGGATATTATTTAGTTATGTGGAACATTACAAAAAAGCTCCAGTGTGCTTGATCACAACATATTAATTCATTCCCTTTTTGTAGTTTGTGTACAGTGAAGTACAATCAGCCAAAGAGCCCTGGGAAAGGAACTTGATTTCTAAGGGTTTTGGGGGTAAGGAGTTGGGACTAGAACTGTCTGCTTTAAAATATATGTACATGATGTTGTATCTGTCATCACCATACTATCTCTTCACCAACTGGTTGCATTAGATTCACATTGTAAATAGTGTTTTAATTCTGACCACATTTTCTGGTGTAAGATTTCTCCTTTAACAACCACATCAAACGGAGCATTTTTGTGTTACACATATTCCGTTATTTGTCAGAAAATTTTTGCTTTTTAATGCAGAAAACTGTTTTTATTTTTGTCCAGGTAGAAATATACAGTGGCACTGTAAAATTTTGCCTTCCCATATTTTGCTGTTGCTATATCGTATATTTCTACTAATGATGATGTACTCAATATACAGTCAGAGAATTTGATTTGATTACATAAAATGTACTTAAAGTGCAATTTGTTACTACTGTTGTTTAACATTTATATTGTGTTAGCACCAAGAAGCCAGCCAGGCCAGGGTCCCATTGTAGCAGGTGCTGTACAAACATATGGAAAATGATAGTCCCTGTCCCAAAAAGCTCACAGGCTAAAACACAAGACACAACAGGTGAATGAAACAAACATTTGGATCAGGGTTGGTGATGGGGGAGACAAGGTAAGAAACAATAATAGGATGTTCACAGTTAATTAGACATCTGTATATTTATTTACCAAGTTTGAGGTTTTCTGAAATTATAAAAAGGTCTTTAAAACAAAAAAGAGAGAAAATAGTTGGTTTACCAAATAATGTAATTCATGCCATTCCATTTGGGAAAAACAAGGAATCTATACACAAATTGGGGATTTTTGTAATAGTTTTTGCAATGAAGCTTTGTAGAGCTTTCCTTATCTTGAAGCAAGCTACATGTCATGCTAGGGAGAGTCCTTTTATTAAGGGGGAAAAAAACCTGAGGGAATATGTTTGCGCTCCCAGCATTTTAGTTAAAATGAATAAGAAAGGACAAAATGTTATAGCTGTGCCCACTTAGTGCCACTTTAGTTGGGTCTGTCAGCATTTCCTCCGTTAATGCCTCTACCTTCTGCTCTAGACACTCGGTTTAGTAGCTCATAATGTGGCTTTAAATTATGCTGTGAGCTGTAACCTGGCATACAGGGTCCCATCCCAGGGACTTAGAACGTTGGGAAAAGAAGAAGTTACAAGTTTCCGTTGTTTTTTTCTGTGTGCTCAAATGTAATATAAATTTTAAACTGTAATTCTCAAAATGCAGCACAGTGAGGTAAATTACGGAAATGATTATTGCCTTACCTCTGGATTTCTTTGCTTCTGTTGGCCTAAATCAGATTCCCCAGCGTTATTTTAAATAATAACACTTTGTGTGTGAATTCATATTACAGATATGGTGAAAAACCTTAAAAAATAAAACAAAACCACAACTACCTGCAGTTTCTAAAAGCTAAGGCTGGCCTTATTATCCTTCTGTTTAGCAGTGAAAGCTTTCTAAATAAGTGCATGGTGTTCTGCAGCATTTCAAATTTTATTAGCATTCAAAATAAATTCAGTTTCCAAGCAGAACCAATTCCCAGACGTCTTTCCTCTCTGTCGTGTCTCCCACCCCCTCCCCCGGCCACTTGAAGCTGCTGCTCTTGGAATAAACAATAAACATTTCAGTGGGCATTTTAGTGGGTGACTTTACATTGAAATATTAATAACATTTATTTTCATTTATTACTATTTTTAACTTTGTTTTCCTTGCAGTTGGCAGGTTTGAGTGTTACTTTGAAAATATTCCAATTAGAACAAGTGAGTAGGTTGTGGCTTTTTTCAAACCCCGAGAATACAGCTTTAATAATAAAAGAATGCATTGTGAGGAAAATAAATTGTAAAAATGCTAGTGATTTATGTCCCTTCTTATTAGCATTTGATTTATGTGCTAATGCCAAGCGATGTCAGTCTGAGAGTGAAGATAATGTCTCATTGCTTGTTTAGCTGGTGATATCTGCCAAAGCTTTACAGGTTAAGATTTGAGCAGAAAATTCTTGATTGCTTCATGGTCTTTGAGCAGAAAATTCTCAATTGCTTCATGGTCTTGTTGCCAGAGTGCTGTTTTTTGGTATGCAAGGGGCTGTTTTTAAAATAAAAGAAACATTTAGGAATTCTCTGACACTTGCATCCCTCCAGGGGGTCCAAGGCAAAGTGAGAGGGAACCTTTTTTCATCTCAGGCTAATTGTAAGGTAAGGGCTTGTGTAGTCCAAGCAATCAACCTTGGCTGCAGTTTCTTTCATGAGAAGATGAAAGTAATGTTCTTTATGTCTGCCTTTGGCTGGCACCTGGGAAGCTTAAGAAGGCAGGGTGGAGTGGTGGGCAGCACAGAAGCAGGAGAAGGCCTTAGACCGAAAGGGAGACTGTGACCTTAAATTGGGACAAAAGTGGAATTAGGGTGGAAGCAGTATGATTTTTGTCCTTTAATAATCTGCAAAATGTTAGAACTGAGTAATGGTGGGTTTGTATTTTGCATGCAAGAATTAAAGTTGATGATATGTGGGGTTTTTTTTTCCCCTTTTGGTGTCCCAGAATGGAGAACATGGGTGTGTGGGGGAGGGTGGCGGGGTGGACGGAAGCATTTGAGTGAATTAGGAGCCTGTGATAGAACTTTTAGAACCCTGAATTTCCAGTATGTTTCCTGGCAGCTATTGTGTATTCTTACTTTGTGCTTTCCGTGAATTATTTATTTGTTCGTCCGATAAGCCTATTAAATGAAGCACTTAAGCACTCGCTACATCAGGCGTCTTGCGCTTTTTCTCTTCAGGCTACCTGTGGTTCATCTAAAAAATGTTACATTTTGGAATCAGGAACAGCTGCTAAATATATATACACAATAGGTACATAGACATTATATCTTTCCCTTCTTTTTGGTATGAGAATGGATAACTTATGACTCTTTGCACTAGAAATGTGCTGTCACAGTCTTAATTTTGCTGCATGCCACTTATTTATACTGTGTTTCTTTGTACACTGCAGGAATACAGTGAAATTGTTTATATAACAAATCAGCAGACCCCTGATGTAGTTAAACATTCATATGTCTGGTGGCCTCCTGAAGTGATGCACTATAAATTATCCTTTTGTTTCAACCCCACCAAGCCTCCACAAAATGGAATTACTTAGCATATGTATTCCATAAGGAACAGAGCCTATTAAGCCAAGATAATGTTTGAATAAGAAAACATGATTTTGATCTGATCTAAATATAGAAATGAAAAGCCATGGAAAATGAGTCTTAACTAGGCCCCAGAACAGAGTCTTTCAAAATACAGACAACATGAACTCTGAGGTTTTTCCAAAATCAACTAGCTCTTCATCAACTACTAGGTCAGCATTTCAAACACATGCTAGAATTGCACAGGTTATCCTAGCCTTGTTGTCTTTGGTCTGTGTCAGTTTAATTGCTTAGTAAGCAGTTTTATTCTTACCATACATGTATTTTACTCTTAGCTTCTCCCGGACCAGCTGGTCTTACTTCTGGAATCTCTGTTGGAGGAGAAGATGTTATGTCTCAGAATTCTACAATGCTTAGAGAAAACATACCACCTTGATGAGCAGGATGCAGAGGTAATTCATTAACAGTCCCACAGCAATATTAAAAAGAGTCATTGTGCTATTGACTAGGAATATTGACATTCCATTAGGACCCAGTGCTATTCCAGCTTCTTTTTCCATTAGAGAATTCTAAAATTGTGTGTATATGTATTACTGAAGAAGCAACAGGTACAGAATGCCTGCCTTACTCTGTATTTCTCTGTGAATATGTGTGATATTAGTGAATATCATGTGTAAGCTAATATGTTTGCATACTATAGTTAGACTATCTAAAATAATTAGTACAGCCAGTTTGCATAGCCTCCACTATGTGTGTACATGTGAACAGTACGCGCGCCTTTAAGAGGTGTGCGCACACAAATGTTAAAACTGCTTACTTCATATATACATATTGTATACTGGAACTTGCATGATTTAGATAAGGTGTCAGACTTCAGAATGAGACCATTCATGTTTGTTTTGGTCTAAATTTCTTGTTCCACTTGATCAGCTCATTGTTTGCCTTTAGCTAGCACTTACATAATATAAAATTGTGCTTTTATGAGAGAGTAAAATGACTTCTGTGTTCATGGGATATGAGTTCCAAGGAGCAACTAGATCTTTATAGCTGCATCTGTTAATTGCAGTATGTGTTTAAACAGTCATGGGAGAAATTATTATTTATACGATGATATAGATGTGCATAGCACTTTACAGACAAAAATAAGGACACAATCCTTACTCCAAGGGCTTGCAAACTTAGGGGCCTGATCCTGTAAACACTTACTGCAGGGCATGGTGTTAACTGTGGGGTCAGCGATCACTTAGTGCTTAAGGTTTCTGCAAGAGCTGTGCTTTATTCTGTGTCCAGTTTCAACTGGCTCTGCCTAATAAGATGTTCACAGTGCCTCGCCCAGACACTCTGTCTGGGAACCACAGCCATTAAAGCACAATTCCCATACCATATCATCCCTTCTAATCCAAAACTTAATAACACTTACTACTACTGTGCAGTAGTCCCATTGACTTAGCAGGCTGAGAGAATTTAAGTTAATAGGACTGCTCATGGTAGTAAGCAACATTCACAACAGTAAATGTTCTCAGGCTCTGGACCCCACGTAGACAGTGTCCAGAGAAAGCACATTTGGGAGAAGATGGAGGAAATGAAACCAATCCAGGAAATATGCATTGTGTAGATGCTGGTTAGATGTTCATAAACAAAAAATAGTTATTGAGGAGAATATATTCATACCAGTATAATGAAGGAGCACTGTTAAACTTAACATATTTGACTCCTATTTAATTAAAAACTGCTGTGAACACCCCAGAAGGTCACTGTGCATGGTTTCTCATGTATAATTGAAATGTTATGGTAGTAATTAAAATAGAAGGAAAAAGTGAAATCTGGCTCATGTTTGTTACAAGAAAATGGCTAGGTAGACGTAATACGTTTTAGAGCCCCGTATAAATCCAAACATTAATTTAAAAACTCCAAACTGCAGTCTAGCCTTTTTCAAAAAAACTCTGCCAGGTGACATTTCAACAGTTGCTATTTATTTCAGCTTTTTATTTTTTGTTTATCAGAGTTTCCAAGTGCCAGACTTATTTTCAATTAGTATTCAAACAGACTTTTCTATTTATAGGAATTAGGATCTATTTTAATCACAAATGAATGCCAATGAAATGTCAGGAGTTCTATAATGGGAAGAGGAATAACTAGGGAGGTAGGATCAAAGCAGGAGCTCTAGTGTTTCTATTTCATGCCAGTGAATTGTGAGCTACTAGACCTTGGGTTTAGGGTTGTTTTGTTTTGTTTGTTTTTCCTCCTTAAACTACATAAATTCATGGGGGTTGGGTTTTTTGGTAGCTTTACTTAACTGCACGCCAATGATCTTTCATATTTTTTCTCTCTTTGCAACAAAATTATGACCTCAACAAAAGAAGCATAATCTCTGTTTTATTGTACAAGGTGAAACCAAGGGCTTAACAGACCTTTAAGAAGTACAACTAAGATAACATTACCATTAGAGTTTTACCAGTCATCAGATCAGAGACACGTACAGTCCTTTAAAGGGAATGTTAGTTTACACACTGTCACATACCTAAGGAAGGGACCTTTCATGTTTCAAACTACAGTAAGTGCAGAGCAGAGTTTCTTTATAAAGACACTGGGACATGGAATTGCAGGATTCCAATCCAAGCTTTTAGCTGAGCTGTTAGCGTCTAAGTCTGATTAGCTGGGACATTAATCTGTTATAGTTAAACCTACATAGTTACAGGATCTCAAATACTTCTATTAACAAAACTTCACAATGTGAGTATTAGAAATGTAAGCATTCAAAATTGCAGGCATAGAAGTAAAAAGAAAGCTGTTAATGTCACAGTTTTTATTAAGGATCTTTTTTGTATGTAGAAAATTGTCATTTCCTGTCTAGCAGCAGACAGCTCAGTAAAGTACACTAACTTCTTAATTATTAAGAAGTAATTATTTCCAGTTACATTAATTCTTGTGCTGGAGATTAGCCATGATCAGACCAACAGTGTACTAAACTGGTATAATTCTTTAAAACAGGCATGGCACATGGATCCTACTGTTAGCAGAAATTGTCAATAGAACATCCAGTACACCTTTCTTAGTACTGTAGGTAGCAAAGTGACCTCACTCTAGCAACAGAAGGAATATAAAAATATTAATTTCTCCTGCTAGTAAACTAAAGCCATATCTATACTTACAAGTTTACAGTGGCACAGACACATTATGCCTGTGAGAGAGGTCTCCCATTGACATAAAACCGGCTTAATGAGCGCTGGTAGCGATGTCGGCAGGAGAGCATCTCCCACCGACATAGCGCTGTACACACAAGCGCTTATGCCAGTGAAATTTATATCACTCGGGGGTGTTTTTTTCACATCCCTGAGCTACAAAAGTTTTGCTGACATAAGTGCTAGTGTAGACATGGCCTTATGTGTATGTATGTATCCATTTCAGATTTTGTATTGCTGAGGCAAGGAGTCTGTGGCAAGGAGTCTGAATAATCTCACCTCAGTCAGCATTGTGGAGAAATGGGTAACGGGGGAGAACAGAGAAGACAAAATGCCTCTGGCAGCTTTCATCACTCTGGGCAGATTGAGAAAAAACACATTTTTCTCAGTCTCTCTCTCTCTCTCTCTCTCTTTTTTTTTTTAAAGACTTTGGTGTTCTTTATAAAGATTGCTGCTTTGATACTTCAGCACAGCAGCATTCAACATAATACTGAAACCAGTACAGAAGCAGAAAGGGAATATATTGTACAATAAGGTCTCGAGTCCAGTGTGTATGGAGATTGGGAGCGCATGCATTAAGCTTGTTTTGGCTGTGAACTGCTCTTTATCTCACTCACATGTATAATAGTCTTCCCTGACATATATCTCATTGGAGATGTAAATCTCTTTTCTGAATTTCAGAAACACTGCAGGTGACCTGATGATTATTGCTCAGCCTTTCACCATATAAGAGAACAGCACAGACCATTCCTTCCAGCTTCTGTTTCTTGAAGCCTTTATACACATTTGTGAGGCATTAACCTTCCTTTTTCCAGTTGAACATGCTTTCTGTTCCAGCCAACATTTCTCTTCTGAACTTACACTTGCACGCTGTACTGTATCGAATCAGAGAAGTGTGGGACTGGAAGGGACCTCAATGCGGTCCAGTCCCCTGCACTCAAGGCAGGACTAAGTAATAACTTGACCATACCTGACAGGTGTTTCTCTAACCTATTGTTAAAAACCTCCAATATTATGTCTAGGTATGTTCCTGTGAGATATAAACTCACATATAAATGGGTCATTTCCTTGTGCAGTATTGTTCTCACCTCCCCACTGTGCAGCACTTGGGTGTCTGGGGTTTTCAGCCTTGGGGTCAAACATGATTCCAAAAAGACCAAGGGGCCAGAATCAGTACTTGGGGGAGACGATCTGCCTTGTTCTCTTCCCTTTTTTGCCACTTGGGCAACTCAAAAGGAGCAGGTGCCACCCACAAGTCCCATACGCCAGGAAATCCCCAGCAGGGAAAGTCGTCACGTGGCACTGAGCTAACATAACTGGCTCCTATGTCTTCCTCGTTACAGCTTCTCATGGGGCACATTGGGGGTAGGAAATGGCTGTGCTGGAGTGAACTGTACTTCAGTTATCTCCAGCTCGTTTATAGTCCCTCAGAGACTGCAGCTGTTTGGCAACAGCTAGAGCAAGACCTAGGCTGCTCTAAACTGTGCTGGGGCAGAGTATTGAGGAAGCTGTAAGTAGTTGATGGTTCTCAGCTTCTCTTTTCCCCCCTCTCCTGCATGTCTGTGTAGCAGAGTGAAGCTGGCCTTTGCAAGGCACTCTGCTAGACTCAGCAGAACCAGCCAAGCTCCTGCCTTGCTCTCACTGGGGCTGCCACAGCCCAGCTGGTAAGCAAGCAACGGAGCTACCCGAGCTACACTCCTCCCTGCTGGGGCAGAAGGGTGTTGAGCAGCTGCAACAGGAAAGAGAAAGCAGCTGCTCAGAGTACTCCCAGCTCACATGGAGCTGCTCCTGAGGCTGCAGGGGCAACAGTGGGAGGCAGTGACCCCTATCAGCTCTGCACAGGAATGGGCTGGTTTAAACACCAATCAGGGAATATGTTTTCATTTCATAATCATATATGCATAATACAATTGCCCTTGACTGCCATTGTTGGACACTGTCTTCAGGGCCAGATGTGGGACACGGCTGGTCTAGTGGCATATCACTAATCATAAGTCACGCTACCCTAAGACCTTGCATGGTCTAGGATGCTTGCTTAACTGTACTAACAGTATATCCCTCCTATTTGTGTAGTGCACATTTACAGTAAATAATGATTTCATTGCAATAATATTTCCCACGTCCAGTTTCTAGATTTTTAAAGGCTTAAGTTAGATCCTTAGACATTTATGGCCAAAGTTTTTAGTGGGCCTTCTTAATTCCACAATACTTGGGGTTGCGTGCTCTAGTTTGCATACACAAATGAATATCCTGGCACATACAATAGGCAT